TGGATCCATGATGATGATTTTGATAAAAACATGATCTCTAGTAATGAATCAAACCATGCTCTGATACCACTGTTGGGAAACGTGCTAGTTTTAAAAACTTTTCGAGGGATTTAAATTCATAGATCTTGATTCATCACATAGAGACAAGTTTTATGCAAAAATAAAACATGATGTATCATTCAATTAAAAGATTGAATACTTACATCAAGGTTTGAGTAAACCTTAGATCTCTCCTCTAAAGTGAATGTTCTCACTTATTGTAGATCCCTTTTGCTAGACACCTTTTCCATGGATCTCTATCTTCTTGGTAATTGTTTTGCCTTTAGGAATCACTCATAAGCCTCCATGAATGACCTTGGAAAACTAGGCTTGTGGGAGCCTCCATTAGATGAGAACATAAACCCTAATTTTCTAGAGAGATAAAATATATTCCTTTTTCCTTCTACTAAAAATCACCCCATAAAATATACATAGACCATGTTTATTTATAGGCAACATAAAGGTAAAGAAAAGGAAACAACTAATCATTCTCAATCTCTAATTCACATGTCTCAAATCTAATATGATTCAAATATCAAGTTAGGCTATGAGTGAGAATCCATTGGGCCTATTATTTTATTGGCTACAATAATTTAATAATTGGCCCGGTCCATGGACCCAATTCAATTAATTCATAAATTAATTTCTACTCCACTAAAAGAAATTAATTGAACTCCAATTAAATAATAAATAACCACTAAGTCAATATTGCACTTTGACCCCTCTATGCATAATTAGTTATCGGATAAATAATGCCATCAATCTGACTACTTAATTAATATATTTATTTTGGTACCTTTGATTATTTCTGGCTTGATCACAATAAAACATTTGTTTGACAAAAAAATAATAATTTAATAAATAAATATATAATAAATCATTTTGTCTAAAAACATACGAAGGCCTTCGAATTTACTTTGTGATCGACCATAATCAATACAAAATAAATACAAGTAGCAATAATGCAAATATTGAAAATATAACCTTCTAACTATTAATTACATAACTACCCAAAGTGTCGGTCTAAGGATTCCTAAGAATCCGCCGAACAAATCAAAGTAATTATTAATTAATAAAAGAGTCTATAATTTTCTCATGCTTAAGAGTCAAATGCCATAACGGTGATAGGGAGTAATTGCATACGACGGCTCTCGCAATATATCTCAACCTAACGCGGATCCAGTTCAAGTCTTAATTAATTATGAGTCCATCCATAATTACCGACTATGAACAATTTATAATTACTATTTATATATCATGCATTGATTACCATCACATACATATATATAAATATTTCTTGTAATTACATGGACACTATCAATTTCATAGTGAATCGAAACATAATACATTGAATTCACCAATTATATAAATTATAAATATTTCAGATATGTCAGGAACATATGTCATTATAATCCAGATAGGAATTTGCTATGCCAGGGCATATAAATCCCAACAGATACAAGCCACCAAGGTAAAACCTTTTGATTTTACCAGCCAAAGTGTGTGAGAAGATGAACCAAATAATGCAAAGATTTTTATAATGAGGCAAAGCAATGAACAAGTATAAAGCAAAGGTAGAATGAGAGCATGTGTGCAGTCCCAAACATGCAGGAGTACTGGGAATCTATGATATACAACTTTGGAACAAGGCTTCAATATTAAGACATATCTGGACTCTGTGCCCCAATGACACAACAGGAATTTGGAAAGAATAGACACTCAAACATCTGATAAAAAAAGGAGCATTTGGGACATACCTATACCAAATGATAACTCCTAGTTCTGGAGAAAGTTGTTACATAATAGAATTTGGCTCAACCTTTTGTCAAACACATCATCAACAATAGTTTTTTTTGACAATTGGCTTCCATGTGGTCCTCTCTATCAGGTATTTTCTAACTCCAATCATAGACAGGGCTGGTTAATTAAAAAATCCATGAAAGTATCATCATTACTCACCACCTCCCAATGGTCATGGCCTAAACACATTTCAAATATTGTCTCACCACATTGTAATATCAGAAACCTACCATTCCCTAACATCAATTCTAACAATACCATCCAGTGGACTCCATCCCCCAACAAGACATATTCCCTTAAACATACACTCCTAGCCATTATCCAACCAATCCCACCTACCCACTGGCATAAACTCATCTAGTTTAAATATGCCATACCAAAGCATTCCTTCTGCCTTGGACTAGCAATTCAAGAGAAGTTACTTACCCAAGATAAACCTGCACTCCTCTATACAATGCAACCCAATGTGTGCATCCTTTGTTTAAAAGCTGTTGAGAACCATGATCATTTGTTCCACCACTATGATTATTCAAATATTGTTTGGGCTGGGTTATAACACAAATGTGGGTTCTACACAAACCCTAACTCTTGGAAGGATTTCCTAATTTGGGCATCCTCCAATTGGAAGCAAAAGCTAAAGAGAAACAGGGTCATGGTATGGAAGCTAACATTGGCTAGCTATGTCTATCATATTTGGAAGAAGCGAAACAATAGAATTTTCAGAAATATTTCATTACCTCCGGTCCAAACAATGAATTCTGTGATCAATGCAATCAGACTGAAGCTTTTCTCTGTCAAGAAATTTGAATGCCCATTTGCAGAAGAAATTGTGGCAGATTGAATTCTCCCATCATCCTTTTATGAGCTTACCCACTCAAATCCTTTCTTCCATTTCACAACCACCCACCACGCACACCCTCCACCACATACACCACTACCTCCGACCGCTCAAACACCCTCAACCATACCCCAGTAATGTTGATACTTTACGATTTGTTGATTCATCCCACCCGAGGATGTGTTTGAAGGTAGTTAAATACCTGTGTGTAGAAGGAAGTATTTTGTTCGTCCGTGGGTTAAGTCATTGTTTGAGCTTCTAGTTACATTCTTTGGGCCACATTAGCGGACGCTTGTTTTTTTCTTTCGTGCCCAGTTCTGTAATGTTTGGGCTGAGGAAATGCCCTCATTTTTTGTATCTACTCTTACTTTTATTAGAATTACTTAATTACCAAAAAAATACAAGTATTTCCTATTATTCTTGTTTTCATCCTGTATAAACAGATTGGCCATTGCCCGATACATATATTGTATTTATATAGTAATTTTACATTACCATCTTTATCACGTGGTTTAAGCATTGTAACAATCGTGAATTTTAAGACTAGTGTTATATATGTAGTTATTTAAGTATAGTTGAGTGTATAGAAGAGTTAACTTTAAATTTTGATGGTATAAGGGTTGTATTATAACTAAAGTTTATGCGAACCAGACAAGTTAACTTTACTTTATATACTTATATATTATCTGAAACTTAATTTGTTTCTTAGGAATATTATAATAATCTGATCGTTTATTTTAATGAAATGTATAATTACAATTGTATAGATTTCTATATGCTTTTTATATTTCGTAATTCAGTCAACTATCTAGACTTTAAATTTAATTACAATTGTTATGATAGTTTATTTTAATCATAACACATTCCAAACAGTTCCTAATTGATTTGATGTTGATGAACGATTAATATATCTTTTATAGGTTGCATTTATTTATGGGAATATAAGGTATGTGTTAACTTGTTGAATGTTGATTGTGTTTGGCATTTTTTGTTAAGCTTGTGAAGTCATTCCTTTATCACTTTCAAGTGCACGTTGATTAAGAATACAAATGAGGCTCAGTTGAGATACGTAAACTCCCTAAATGTTTCGCATATTTATTTAATTGTTATTTATTAAGTAGTTTTGTAATAAGGTTGACCTTATTGGTGGCATTTTTATTTCATTGGTGTTAATGCTATAAACTGGTTATGAGATGATGGAATCATGATTGAAGTTGATTTTTTGACTTAACTGTGATGATTCATTGTGGAATATGTGAGTCACGTACTAAATTTTAGTACCGAAGGAAAGAGTTTCTTGTGTTAAAATTTTGGGACGTAACAACGAACATTTCATTTAAGTGATAATTTCCAAAAACCATGTGGTTTAAGAATGTGAAGGAAAGAGCCACTTCCTAAAGATCAATCAAAACATGTACGCTACTCTTCCTAGCTCCCAGTTGTTCTGGGTAGCGGACCTTCCTAACGTGCCCTTAATGCCCATTTCCAATTGATCTTTGTCCAAAAGATGGGAATGTGAACTTGGAGTCTAAAGCCTTACCAAGAACAACTGGAATTGCATCCCTCCTTTGTTTGTTACAAAGTCTCCATTCTGTTTTCTAATAAGTGGAAACTCTCATAATATACAATTTCAATTGTTTTTTTTGTCTAAATTTCATGCCAAGCCTCTTGTATGGACAGAATCAACAAATGGGTTATAAATTCTAAGCAAAAAAAGGTAAAACATAGACACATTTAAGGACAAATCTGAGCAAGGGCGGAGCCAGGGGTAGGCGAGGGATGGGGCCGCCCCCACAAGAAATCTAGTATTTTTTTATTAGTATAGGTTCAAAAACAATATAGTATAACTTGTGTAAGGTAAATGAGTACCTTTGGTCCCCCCCCGCAAGAAATTTTTTAGTTTGTTTTATATATATAATTTATTATATCATCTTTACTTCTTTTAACATATTTTAAAATAAATTTTTTTTTTTTTTTTTTTTTTTTTTTTTGTGTTTTTTGAATCTCTTGTCCCCTTACCTCAATGATGTTTGTTTGTTTATTTATATTATATACTATTTTATATAATGCTTTGACCCATTTTTTTTGTTTGTTTCCTTCGTGTACCTCCACCCCATCTTTTGTTTTCCTTGAAATATGGCTCAATTTTGGGTTTTTTTTTTTTTAACAGAATGCAAACGATTGTCTCACCCAGTCCATCACATTCTCTCTTCTCTGAGTTCTCTCTCACTCAGTCCATCACTTTGGCCCCCCACTCACACTATCCTGGCTCCGCCCCTGAATTTGAGTCTCGGAGAACACGTTAGTTTGAAAAAGTTACGCGTTTTGTGTTTTTTTTTTTTTTTTCTTCTCTCTCTATTTCCATTTTACTAAAATATTTTTAGGTCAATCATAGAAAGTCCATAGAGGAAAATTACCTAATTTTTTTTAACTTAGTATCTGTTTGGAAGGAAGGGAGGAAGGAAGAAGAGGGTTGAAGGAAAGTAGAAAGAAGGAAGAAACAAGCTTCAAAGAGGGGACAAGTAGGGAAATGAAAAGAGGATGGATGAATCATATTTTCTTATTCACAAACTTTCATCCTTCCAAATATGAATTGAAGAAAAAAAGAAAGAGAAAGGTGACCTTATAAAAATTTAAATTACAAAACTAACCTTCATAATTATTAGATAAACTCAATATTAGCAATTTCTATCTTTCATTCTCTCTTAACAAACAAAGTAGTGTTGCCTTCTCCTCTCCTCTTCCATCCAATCAAACAAAATGAGAAAAGAATACTATCCTTACCCAGAATGATTCATCCATCACTTTGTCTCTCATTTCTTTCTAATTTTCTTCCTTTATGTCAAATAGGGCATCAGGAAATTAAACCTGGATAAACACACTCAAAACAAAGTTCAACAAAATTTTAAATCAAAAGAATGAAACTTGTCATTTTTTAAATAGGGATACATAATATAACCACAAAGTTTGGAACTATTACCCATTTATTCTATGATAAACACCGTAGTATCTTATACATTTTTTTTCTCTGAAAGGTCCATGATATCTTATATCATGAGGACATGCAGACCTATATTTTTTTTTCCTTAGTAAACGAGGGAGAGAGGAGACACGAACATGGATACATCCACTTGGGGAGCTGGATACTCTATCAATTAGATCATTGGATAATGCCCCAAAAAGACCTAATGTATTATAGAAGTTTCAATACTTTTAAGTGTGTATATATATATTAGGCAAATACGAACAAAAAATGGGAAGAAAAGTTTCTAACCCAAAACAAAGGGCCACATTTCAGCCCAAGATAGATAGGCCCAAAGCCCATTAGGAGCAAACATTGCAAGCTTTATAGTAATTAAAAGCTTTGATAGTACCTATAAAGCCTTGCGGCTTAGTGATATTATTTATCTTCAAGTGGATGGTGAAGATACGAATTTTCAAAAGGATAAAATAGAAATATAAATGATACGTAAAATTTTAGATCCCCTAAAATAAAAAAATTTAAAAAATCCGGTTTAGTCTAAGTAATTTAAGAGCCATCCCATTCCTATCATGTCAAAATCCAAAACTTTCGTCGTCTAGAAAATGTGCATTAATAACCAGCTATCTTGCTTAAAACATTGCCTATTTTTGTAGTTGCCTTACAAAAGTTGAACAAAATTTATTTAAAGTACTTGTTTTAATCCTTAGAAATATGGATGTGTACAATCCATCTTGAATTTGATAACCACTATAATATAATTTTAGTTAAATTTTTTTAAAATATACAACAATTTTATAAGAAATCAAATAAAAATTAGAAAAATGATAAATGTCACCAATGTATTTTCTTGACATCAATCTTGAAATATGGATGTGTACAAATCCATCTTGAATTTGATAACCATTGTAATAAAATTTTGGTTCAATTTTTTAAAAATATACAACAATTGTTTATATGAAATTAAATAATAAAAATAAATTTTAGGGTAAAGTACAGCCACACCCTCTGAAGTTTGGCAAAAGGACATTTAGAATAAACATACCTGTTTTTTGTATAAAGACACCCCCCGAAGTTTCAAAAATGGACAAAGACACCCCTTTACATGAAAAATTGACCAAATTACCATTTGACCGTTTAGAAGACTTTTTTAACTTTACAATTTAATAAATTGGACCAATCTACCCTCATGAATAATTTATGCATAAAAAAAAGTAAAAAAAAAAAAAAAAAACTTTATATTGTTCACTTTTTTTTTCACTTTATAAATGTCTCAACTTCTTATAAATGTAGATGTCTAAAATGATTTTTTGATCCAATACATATATTTTAAATAAATTATACTTTGTTATTACTTCTTTTCTTTTTCTTTTTTTATTTTTAAATTAAGATGTTTAATCCTTTCATCTAAAAAAATTAAACCAATCTCTTTTTCTTAAAAATAAAAAATATGGTACCAGTATAACTTTATGCATCTTAACTTTATGCACGCCTTTTTTTTTTTTTCCCCCTTTGTTTTATTATTATTTTTTTCCCTTTGTTTTCTTTCCCCTTTGTTTTATTATTTTTTTTTCCCTTTGTTTTATTATTTTTTTCCTTTGTTTTATTATTATTTTTTTCTCTTTTATGTTGGGAAATACATAATATTTGATATATAATTTAAGATGTATAAAGTTATATTGATACCATATTTTTTATTTTTAAGGAAAAGAGATTGATTTAATTTTTTTAGATGAAAGAATTAAGCATCTTAGTTTAAAAATAAAAAAGAAAAAGAAAAGAAGTAATAACAAAATATAATTTATTTGAAATATTTATATTGGATCAAATAATTATTTTAGACATCTACATTTTTAAGAAGTTGAGACATTTATAAAGTAAATAACTAAAAAAAAAAAAAAAAAAGTGAATAATATAAAGTTTTTTTTATTTTTTATTTTTTTTATGCATAAATTGTTCATGAGGGTAGATTGGTCCAATTTATTAAATTATAGAGTTAAAAAAGTCTTCTAAACAGTTAAAGAATAATTTGGTCAATTTCTCATATAAAGGGGGGTGTCATTGTCCATTTTTTAACCTTCAGGAATGTCTTTGTCCAAAAAATGAGAAAGTTTCATCTGAGTGTTTTTTTTTGTCAAACGGTGTGATTATACTTTACCATAAATTTTAATAATATTTATGATCGGAGAATAACTTAATTGCCCAGGATGCAATGATAATATAATATAACATACTAATTATACATTGATACATAAATAAAAGAAGAGTAATGATATGCGCTCTCACCAAAATGGCCGAACTTTTGTCCGACTCCTCCGTGGCACAACCACGTCATCCCATCCCATAAATTTCTCTCCCGTCTTTTCTCTCTTTTTTCTCTGGTTCTGGGACTCTTTTAATCTCCAGGACAGAACAAAATACTTGGGGTATTCTCTCTCTGTTGATTCTGGTTAGCCAAAACCATTCTGTAACCCCCTTCTAGTTCTCTCATCAATTTCTCCTCTTGTTTTTCGATTCTTCTTCAAACTCTTGCTCTGTGATTTGGCATATTTCTTGCACATAGAAGTCCAAAAACAAAGACAAAGTTATCTACAACTCTAAACAACAGAAATCCACAAAAAAAATTATGGCTTCAGTCATAAACATACATACCAAAATTGAATGTATGAAGATAGAAAATTAGGGATTAACTAACCGTAAATGCGAAATCAAAGAGAGTCATAAACATACATACTAAAATGCGAAATCAAAGAGAGTCAGAATTGAAAAGAGGAAAAATCCATGAGCTGGAAGATATATTAACTAACCGTAAATGGAATTTTAATACTCCATTTTTTCGGTTCGATTTTGCGAAATTGGAGAGAAAGGGGTAGAATCAGAGAGAGGAACAACTTATGTCTAAAAAAAATCTTCAAAGGTATTATATATTAGTTCCTGTAATCCATGGTGGTGTTCAAATTCATTTAGCTCCTGTAATCCATGGCCATGGTTGTGCTTAGATATTTTTGGGTGGATGATTTTTTTGTTTGCTTGTTTTGATGGATAAAAAATACCTAGATCCATGTATTTGTTTCCTTGTTCATATGGATGAAATAGACCCAGAAACAAAGATGAGAGAGACTCGAAGAGAGAGAGAGAGAATTGATGAATTGGAGAAAGAGAAAATAGAGAGAAAAACTAACCAGAGAACCAGAAACAGAGGAAGAGAGGAGAGAGGGGGGTTGCAGAATCGCGAAGAAGAGTCCCAGATCAGAGAGAGTATCAAAGGAGAGAATTTTTTTTTTTTTTTTTTTGGATAAAGATGTGGTAGCCACATTAGATGCGGCCACAATATTTGTAATTATAATACAAGAGGTAGGGTCTATTTTAACCATAGAAATGGCTTTTTGTTATCCAAAATGTACTTTTTATTAAAAATAAATTAAAAAAAAATAACAATTAATGAGTGATCAACACAATTCTTAAACAAAACAAAAAGTTAAACTCATCAAACAAAACAAAAATCCCTCTTCTGCCGTCCAAAAAGAACCCTAAACTCACAAAGAGTCCTTTTTTACCGTCTAAAGAATCCTAAACTCAAAGGGCGACAGAACCTTGAAATTGGAAGCTTTAGGGAAGAAAAAGTCCAATTTCGCAACAAGTGTTGTTCAAATCTTAAATCTTTGCTTACTGTATCAACTTCAACAACCCACAAACCCTAAGTTCAAGCAAGGGTTTCGAACAGAGAGCAACAAAACCTTAAAGCAAGATTTTAGGGAAAAATGTCCAAATTTGCAACAAGATTACATGTGAGTCCCTTGTAGCATTGTCTATGTTTAATTTCATTTAATCAAATTTAATCAGATTTTTTATGGATATCATAAGCATACAAAGGTGTGTTCGTATGTATATATACTCTAATATGGTGTAACCTTAAATTTTTGTCACATTAGTTTATCAGTTCTTCTATTTAAAACAAAATTCTAACTGACCCATTTGATCTAGAGAGCAGAGAGCAACAAAACCATAAAGCAAGATTTTAGAGAAAAAGGTCCAAATTTGCAACAAGGTTACAGGTGAGTCCCTTGTAGCATTGTCTATGTTAAATTTCATTTAATCAGATTTTTTATAGATATCATAAGCAAATAAAGGTGTGTTCGTATGTGTACTCTAATCTAGTGTAACCTTAAAATCTTATCACATTAGTTTATTAGTTCTTCTATTTAAAACAAAATTCTAACTGACCCATTTGATCCAATTTTAAAGGATATAAAATATAAATCTCTTTTAGCCAAAAATATGTATCACTATCACAAGATTATAGCCCACTGAAGTCTAGGATAGCGTCCCCATTGTCATTACTATCTCTGTCCACCATGCACCATGTCATACCCTTTATGATCTTTTCCTATATCCTACTAAAAAGCCGTCTCCTATAAAGATTTTTCCCTTCGTATGGCGTACCTTAAATAAATTCATCCACATTTTCTAAAATTGCAATTTATCAGTGTTCATCTATTTCCATTTGGACTTGGATGCATTAACACTAATTATAATAAATATATTTTCTCGCACTATGAATTGTGAATCTTGTGGGAAAAAAACCCTTAATGTAGTATTTAACTAAGAATCATTGGCTGGATGGCTTGAACGGAATTATCACAATCAGTAGTATTTAACTTAGAATCATTGGTTGGATGGCCATTGAAGAAATCATATGCCGACTGCTTTGGTAGCTGGTTTCGTCCCATGTAGCTATATCGAATAAACAAGATCATAGCAAGAGCTATAATCAACACACCTCTTGACCACTTCTTCATCTTCAAAAACTTCTTGAATCTCAAATATTGTGTACAACAAACTGTTTAACTCTTCAATTGTATAACTAACAAATAAGCATAGCATGTAGTGGATCCAATGATTCGCCATTTTTCGCAGTCATCTTCTTTTTTCTAGTCCATATACTGATAACCCCTGCCATGATATTTCTTCAAAAATTTAAAAGAAAATCACAATGTTCATAACCCATAGGTAACCAAGCAAAAGGAAGTAAGAAAATGCTAATTTTCTTTTACATCACACGCATATATATAAACACAGATAAAAGCATGGACATAATTAGGAATATTCTGAAAAATCATAAATGCTCAAAATACATAAATATAGTTAAGGCTAATCTGAAAGCATAGAACTTTACAATTATTTAAAAGCCAAATCACTGGGATTACAGTAAAGATTCTTCCAAGTCTATGCAATGTCTTCATTTGCATAGATGTTGAAAGTACTTTTCTTAGCTTTTGGGAAGCAAAATCTTTATAGAAAGCAAAAAATAAAAAATAAAAAAAGTTTTGCTTTGAAAAAGTAAAGAATTGTGTTTGACAATTACACCACCATTTATAAGTAACATCATACAAGTCTAAAAGTAACATCACCATTTGTAAAAAGATAATATCACCACTTAGGTAATATATAAGTATATATATATGTGTGTGTGTGTGTGTGTGTGTGTATATACAAAAACACTTTAAGACTAAGGTACTAAATATATATAACATTACCATGTTTAATTGAGTTAGATTTATGTGTGACTATTAGTTTTTCAGCACTATGTGACTACCTTTTATTTATGGTGAAGGTGGTGAGTGTGGCAACTAATATTAAACTTTACCAAATTTATTCTTTTGATGGTAAAGGTGGTGAATGTGGCAATTAATATTAAACGTTGCTAAAAAAAATTCAAAGATATGTTAAATAATTTATACCTAAGTGTATGTTTTTTTTAATATTTGGAAGAAAAAATAAAAGATGTGGCTTTTTTCTTTATTTTTGGAAACGTAATGAAAATAGTGATAGCCTATTTTTTTTTTTTTTTATTCCCATGTATCAAAGAAATAATAAATTTAGTTATTCTCTAAAAGTAAACCATGGAATTCTTTTATAGTGTTCCAATTACTTTCGTACCAAACAAAATATTTGATGTTTAAAAAAATTACGAAAAAAACCACATCTGTTTTTTTTTCTTTCTTCGAAATATTAAAAAAGCAATTACATAAAAGTGAAAATGGTTGACAACTAAATGCCTCATAATCCCTTTCAAAATCCTCTTTAAATTAACATGTGACTGTGTTTTTTGGATGCTTTTTTGATATGATAAAATTTAACTTTTAACTTCAAATAAAATATAAATAATATGATCTTTTAAGCTTGTAAGTTTTAACTTTTAAGCTTCTAAATTTATTTAAAGTCTTGTTATGATCTCTGTTTTTATAAGTGCAACATCTCATTATGAACTCATAACCTATGAACATCAAATGGGAAGGATTAAGCATATGGCCAAACGCGCTAAAAAAAGGAAAAAAATGCAGCAAAAGCCAAATGAGATGAACCAAAAAAAAAAAAAAAAAAAAAAAAAAAAAAAAAAAAAAAAAAAAAAATAAAGATGTGGCCAAATGTGGTCTAAAAAGGCAGACTAATGTGTCCAAACGCGATGGAAAAAAGATTGCTTTAGATAGTGAAAGTAATTCTGATAGTGCTTCATACTCTTCTTCTGCCAGTTCTCCGTCTCAATCATCAAGTAGTACCGATGAGATTGAAAATAGAGCTCATTTAAAGCATAGAAAGGTTATTTGTCGATCGAGACAGAGTGAAAGTTTAAAAAATAATGTAGGAAGTTCAAAACTGAAGCGGAAGGGAGGAACTACAAACCATCATGGACCTTGCTTCTTCAAATTTAGGTATATTTTCAAAACCCTGAATGACAATGAGATCAAATTATTATAAATTTCATGTATTCTATTATTATTTTAAAAAATTTCTATTTTTAATGATAAATTATGTTATTAATATATATTTTTTATTGAAGTTATTGATTTTATTAATAAAAAAAATTGATTAGAAAGAAATAGAATAATAAAATATTGAGACTAAGGTACTGAATATATATTGATTAGAAAGAAATATAATAACTCAATATATGTATATATATGTGTATATGTGTATATATATACAAGAATGCTTTGAGACTAAGGTACTGAATATATATTAGTATATAAGTATATATATAACATTACCATGTTGAATTGAGTTAGATTTATGTGTAACTATTAGTTATTCAGCACTATGTGAATACTTTATTTTGATGGTGAATGTGTTGAGTGTAGCAATTAATAATAAACTTTGTCAGATTTTTTCTTTGATCGGTGAGGGTGGTGAGTGTGGCAATTAACATTAAACTTTGCCCAAAAATTTTCAAAGATATGTTAAATAATCTATACCTAAGTGTATGTTTTCTTAATATTTGAAAAAAAAAAAAAAAAAAAAATGATGATGTGGCTCGTGCATAATTGTTTGTGCTGGACTTATTTTGTGGAGTGTGATGTTATCAAGTAATGTTATGAAGATCCTTGGAACTGATTTTAACTTCTTTTTTTTTTTACTAAACTTGATTTAATTATATTTTTTTTAAGAAGTGATGTATTGCACCAATATTCTTACCTTAGTGATATATAAGTTGATATATATAAAACAAAGTGGCAATGTAATTAAACAATAAAATTTAGAAAAATTTAAATGTATTAAATTTTGTAATTATTCATTGTGTTTATAATTTCAGGAAATATTATCAAGAAAAGTGCAAAGCAGAAAACCCTTCCAAGGATTGGAAAAGACTTGATTATGCACAAATCAGTAAAGATGCCGGAAAAGTTTGGAATAAAATGAGTGAAAGTAAAAAAAGCAACCTTTCAAGGATGAGTGGGAAAAGGAAGAAGCAGAAAGGAAAAAAAAATGCACCAAAACAAACCCCCAAACAAAAGGTATTATATCATTTTGCCTTCCCTTCCCTCCTATTATTGTTTAATTATTTGAGGCACGCTCCCTTGTTTATATTATTTTTGTTTTGTAATTTATCATTTAATTGAACTTTTATCCGTAGAAAAATCAGAATCATTGGCACAAATGCTCAATTGATCAATTTGTCAAATGTGTATCCCAACTTGGTGCTAAGAAGATCAAGGCAATTGAGGAAATTGGCTTTGGGCAATTGCTGAACTTGAAATGCTCGCGTCTAGATCGTAACCTCTTTCGTTATATATTTAGTTACTTCGACTGCCACACAGGTCTTCTTAGAGTCAGCCAGAATGAATATATCTCTATATTGGCACACGATGTCAATTTTATCTTTGGCTTGCCTTGTGGGGAGACGGACATACCGAAAGGTTCTGATGTTGAAGCGAAATGGATAAATAACTGTGGATTTCATAATCTGGGAGGGATGCACATAAATGCTTTACAAAACAAGGTTACACAACTTGATGTTGGTGACGATTTTAATTGAGCATTTGTTCTATTTACATGTGCAACAGTCCTTAGGCCAAATGGTTGGAGTAATGCCCACCTAAGGGGGTTTGAATCTATGAACAAAGTCGATTCAATTAAGACTTACAACTGGTGTGGTTATATTTATAAACATTTGGTTGAAGCCCTGAAAAAGCCGGGAAAAGAAAGACAGACTTGGACAGGCTGTTTAATTTTTCTGCAGGTATAATCTTTTTTTATTGAATGTTACTTTTTAAAATACATAGTATATTGGATAAAGAAAAGTCTATCCTCAAACCTCTATATCTCAGGCCAAGTGTATATATGTCAATTATTTGATGTCATTTAATTCAGTTACTATATCTCATCCGAGTTGATGTAAAATGG